AGCCATCAACTCTTTATTCCAACCAATCAGCAGCTTAGCCTTAAAGTTACAAAAGATTCTACATGTGCTTCCCAAGTGCTAGGATTACAGATGTCTTTACTCCTGTCCCTCCTCCTTCCCTCCTCTTGCCCCTACTCTTTTGTTTGTTCTATACTGTTATTTCAGACAACGTTTTATACAGAAATGGCTGGCCTCAAAATTGGCAAGGAAAACACTGAAATTTTGATATTCCTGCCTTTGCTTTTCCAGCTCTGAGATTATACTCTTGTCACCCCATGCATGTTTTTTTTTATGCAGTGCTGAGAATCAAATACAGGGATCAACTTGTCCAGGGCCAGAACTCTTGCAACAGAATTATTAATAGAATCCCCTGGTTTCTTCTTTAAATCACTTACTTCAATTGGATAATCAAAAGCCGTGTATGTGTCTTATATTACGACTGAACCTCAACACTCTACCTGCAACAAACTCTTCTTCAGAATTTTCAGGTTACAGTTGTGTGCCACCTCACCTGGGTCTATGCTATGCAGAGCCATTGTAGGTATCAAGTGAACTACGGTGACAGACATCTGCAGCTCACTTCAGGGTTTCTTCTGCCTCCAGCTTGCTGAGTATAACCTTGCCAAGTTTTGCCTGCCTCCAGGAAAAAGTCTCTCCCTTGTGCATATCAAAAGCTTTGGACCTCTTTCTGGACAGCTATCAGCCTATTCTCCTGGGGTAAGTGGCCTGGTTCTAATGGTTTCAGCAAAATAAAAATGTTCTAAAAATGAGAAATAGAAAACATAACTGAAAGCAGGAAGAAAAAAAAACTAGCAACCATAAGATTTACAGTGACATCAACACTAAATTATTACCACATGTTTTTAAAACACTTGGGGAATGAGAAAGTATACTTCTAGAAACTCAGATCCTGAACACATTCTTCTACTTCTTTGACAGGGTTTAGAGGTCCATCACTGAAGCAATCTTCAGTGATGAAGAGATTTCAGTGCTCAAAAACTTTTCCACATGCATTAGGCTGGAATGGAACTCTTTGGAAGAGTATTTAAAGTAATAATTAAAGCTAAAGGGGATCCTAAAGTAATGTCCTCATGAAGTATATTCTGTATTAAACAGTGAAAATCAGAGCTTTAAATGAGAGGCATAGGAACCAGAGATCCAGAGAGGGGAAGCCAAATGTGAAGAGTTGATAGAGTCAGAGGGGATAAATCATTAGCCACTCAGGCATGGTAACCTAAATCAGTCCTATGATAATCTAAACCTCTACCAGTTCAACTTCATGGTGATTTATAAAAGATTCATTTTAGAATCTTCTCAAGAGCCAGAAGACATATGCAAATGAATGTATACCAAACTCACAATGAAGACTTCTAGTAAAATTTAAATATCAAAGTGCATCATTTTGCATAGAGAATGGCCTAAATGCCATTCTAAGGGAATGCAATTCTAAGAGAATCCATAGAGAATAATTGCTGATGAGGTTAACAAGTGCTTTCAAGTCTTCCTGTTCTTCATGGTGATGGCAGATGAGAATGCTTGTGTGTTCAAAGATCACCATCACCCTTACTAAAGGACAGGCAAGCTTTGTTATTTGCTGCAAAATAGGCCGCGGTTATCATACCAGCACCTGTGAAAATTCACAGGGGAGGGCATGAGTATGGAAAAATTCATATACTGAAGCAAAGAAGGAAAGTGTTCCAAGTGGGCTTTTGTTCTAGGTGGCTCAATCTCCAACATAGAAAAAAACAGAGAAATGGTATTTGACTGTGCTGAGTGACTAGAATCCTTCATGTTAAACCAATCCTTTGATCTTTGTGAGTTCAAGGCCAGTCTGGCCTACAAAGTCCTGGCCATTCTTGGCCAGGACAGCTAAGGCTACAGAAAGAAACCTTGACTCAAAAAACCAACCAAACAAACAAACAAACAACCAATCAACAAACAATAATCCTTCAGTTCTATTAGTAAATTAAAAGGCTTTTGTAAACAAAGAAGGCTCCCAGTAAAGACTTGGGCCAGGTTGTTTATTCTAGTGATTGGACAAGTCTTTTAACTGGGAATGAGAATTTTCCATAAAAGTGAGATAGTAAATACTTCACATAGATTGGCTGCTAAGTTCAGATCTCAGTTTAATAATCATATGAGTATATCTACAATATATAACTAAGGGTGTGTGGTACTGTGTCAATATATCTTCCTTTACGAGCATAGAAACTGGATTACAAATCCGTTTATAAATCAAAACTTATTTTGCTTTGTTTCCTTCAATCAGTAAAATAAAATATAAAAACAATTCTTGACTCATAGGCTGTATTATCAGTCAATTCACTTGTGAATCCTAAAAGTGGGGTGCCAATGAAGTATATATTGTATCTTTCTGAAAAATAAACACCCATGCTTTTTAAACTCACAGGGACAATCCTATGTGGACTCAGGGAATATATAGCCACATATCAGTTATATAAAGAAGTTCTAGAAGAAAATAATATCTTTTTCTTTGGCTTCCAGTATTCAGAACTGGCACAAGATCAATGGCTATGATGTAAAATATCAGTTGATTCCTCTTTGCATGCTAACCTTAACAAACTAATCTACTTGGCTTTTCTTCAAGGATTCCTACATCCCTGCAGAGCACAAATCAGATGAACTACCACAAAGTTTTGAAAAGCATGATAATATGTTGAGTATGTTCATTGGTGGTGTGTGACAATTTATCTGGGTATGTGTAGCATAAATATTTACGTAGTCTCACCATGAACCAAAAAAAAAAAAAAAACTAAAGTAATGATCATATAAAAGTTTAACTTGCTCAACCAATGAGTTTTTTTGGGATTACTTACAGTAGAATGAATGATAAGTCACCTTTAGTGAGAGATGACTCAAAGGCAGATTCATCACTGAAAAGTATGCCACAACATGTGTGATGACTCATGAAAGCTGTATCTTTGCGTGACTTGCATGCAGACAAATCAGCAGGTCAGACAGATTGCTAGACAACTCTCTATCATCTTTTTTCCTGGTAATTGTTTTCCATTTCCAGAAACTTGGAGTGATCCTCTGAGTCTTGTTAGTTTCAGGACCTCTTTAGACTTGTGTATTGTTTGCTTTGTAATCAACATGAGTTTCCCCATTCTTTCCTGGAGGTAATGTTTTAATTTAGAAGGCTTCATGGTTTGGAAGTATGTGGTACACATAAAGTCATAAAAGAAAACATTTAAAATAAAAAACAAACAAATAAATAAATATTAACTATACCTGCCTGTTGCTATAGAACCCACACTTGGCATTAAAGCAATGTCAAGCTTTCTCAACACAAGAGAGTGGTACAGTAATGCATTGATTGAAATGGGTGTATCAGTTTCAGATGTAACCTATAACTTGCACAAAGTCAGATGTAACTCCATTAAATACAAAACAAACTTTTTAAAATGGTGAAAAAGGGCCAAGCCTTATGGCACATACATTTAATCCCATACTCGGGGAGACAGGGCCAGGCAAACCTCTATGAGTTTGAGGCCAGCATTCTTTACAAAAGTGAGTCCAGGACTGCCAAGGCTACACAGAGAAACCCTATCTTGAAAAACAAACAAACAAACAAACAAACAAGGTAGAAAAGCAACCCCAGAAGTTCTTTGATGGCATCTATCTATATTGCTTTTATCCACAATTGAGCCATGTGGCCAGTATGATGGTACATGCCTTAATTCCAGTATTTGGAAGGCAGAGGAAGGTGGATCTCTGTGATGTTGAGGCCAGTCTGGTCTACAGAGTAAGTCCAGGATAACCAGGGTTCTGTTACATAAAGAAACCCTGTCTAGAAAAAAAAGTGAACCACATGTAAATGGCTGTTTTAAAACATTATGAAGCAGAAATGATTCCACTTTCCAGACTGATGAGTATTTATATTCAGAATATGCACAAAAACCATTTCTAATGGACAAATCTCTGGCTTGCTTAGCACAGAGGACCAGCTAAACCAGTGTGCACAAGGATCAACATACATTCACACAAACACAAAGACAAACACACACATGTACTCATAAAGAAGTAATATATGCCATATTGTGATTTCAAAAAGATAACATGAACCTCACCATTGTGAAGGTAACATGCACCTCATAATCTTCATAAAAAATTCTCCTTGAGAGGACTTTGCAGCCAGTCCTGAAAATACCTGACAAAACAGGGTCAGATGAAAGGGAAGGGGGTCCTCTCCAGTCAGTGGACTTGGAAAGGGGCAGGGAGGAGATGAGGGAGGGAGGGTGGGATTGGGAGGAAATGAGGGAACAGGATACAGCTGGGATACAGAGTTAATAAAATGTAACTAATAATAAAAATAAAAAAATAAATCCTCCGTGAAACTCACAGTGTGGAAAGTAGCAGAATCACTGGATTGACCAAAATTAAAAGGATTTTATGGTCTTCACTAAGTAGTGTCTTCTTGTGACAGAGTGCTCCTAGAAGGATGATTATTTGAAAGAGGAATCAACAGACAAAGAATACCACAAGAGTGGTAACAGTATTACAGCTAGAATTTAAAAAGACGACATCTACAACCTTTGGTAAACATATTCTAACACCCCATATCTACTCCTTATCTTGTGTTTGAAAATAAACTTCATCTTAAAATGTCTGCATTCTTCCTTTGAGAACAAAGAACTGATGGAAAGCCTTAATCAAGGGGCAACCTAATCAATCCACTGCTCTCCTCCGCATGGTAAACTCATGACTACCCATATTCTGCTTCCTACCCACCCTCAGTTCAATATCAGTGCTGCAACACCAGAGCTTATGTTCCCTTTCATAATCAGTTGGAAAAGTAGTAATATTTTTGATAACGTATAGAACTATGTAATCCATGAGAAACATTAAACAGAAAGGCAGGTTTACTCTATTACCTTTTGAATAGAGACCCTGTTATGAAAGGTGTTATGAAAGATGGTAGAGTGGAGCCACATCTGAGAAACAATCATTGTTGAAATATTTCAGGTGCTGAAAAAGAAATGGAAGCCAACTCCTCCATCCCTCTGAATGGATCAGAAGTGGTACTCTATGATTCGACCACCTCCAGAGTTCTCTGGATCCTCTCAGTGGTGGTCCTCTCCATAACTTTCGTCCTCGGTGTGCTAGGTAACGGGCTTGTGATTTGGGTGGCTGGATTTCGCATGGCACGCACCGTGACCACCATGTGCTATCTGAACCTGGCTTTGGGTGACTTCTCTTTCATGGCTACTCTACCACTCCACATCATCTCGATGCTCATGAGAGGAAAGTGGCTTTTTGGCTTGTTTCTTTGCAAGTTTGTTCACATCATTGTACACATAAACCTTTTTGTAAGTGTCTTCCTGATCACTCTCATTGCCATGGATCGCTGTATTTGTGTCCTTCACCCAGTATGGGCTCAGAATCACAGAACTGTGAGTCTGGCCAGGAAAGTGATTGTTGGAGCTTGGATTCTTGCTCTGCTGCTTACCTTGCCAAATTTTCTCTTCTTGACTACAGTGAGAGATGCAAGAGGAGATGAGCACTGTGTAACTAACTTTGAATCCTGGGTTGCAAACCCAGAGGAGCGATTAAAAGTGTCCAATACTGTGAACACAGCTGTAGGAATCATCAGTTTTATTATCGGCTTCAGCATGCCCATGTCCTTCATTGCCATCTGCTATGGACTCATGGCTGCCCAGATCTGCAGAATAGGCTTTGTGAATTCCAGCCGTCCCTTACATGTCCTCACTGCTGTAGCTGTTTCCTTCTTTGTCTGTTGGTTCCCTTTTCAATTGATTATTCTTTTAGGCAATATCTGGAACAAGGAGACACCAAACAGCATTCACATTTTGTTGAACCCAGCAAGCACACTGGCCTCTTTCAACAGCTGCCTTAACCCAATACTTTATGTCTTTCTTGGTCAGGAATTCAGAAAGAAACTGATCCACTCCCTGTCTGCCAGTCTGGAAAGGGCCCTTAGGGAAGACTCAGTCCTGAGCAATGGCAAAGGCAACAACTTGTCTTCATGTCCTGCAGACTCAGAGCTATAGGAAATGGCAAGAGTGAGACCATGGGAAAGCTTTCTGTACCACCCTAGTCTCTCAAACTACCCCTCTTCCTACCTTACATGATATTTTTGAGTATCAATATAAAAAACACTTTTTGTTCTCTGATTTGGAATAAATAAATAAAAACCAAAACTAATCTCGCTGTTCTTTTTTGAGAAAATTTTAACCGAGCCCATAGCCTGAGCTAAGACTAACATAACAAAACAGTTCAAGAAATATGTATGCTTGAAAGACTCATACATGATGGTATATATTGATACTATCTATTCTTTTATTAAGAAATAGTATATATTCTTTTATTAAAAAATAAATCTTTGATTGCCATATGGTACATGCCTGAAATTCTAGCATTTTAGACACTGAGAAAGGAGGTCTATGTCAAGGCCAGCTTACACAGAGAGTTTGAGAATTCAAAACCATCCTGGGCCACGTGAGACCAACTCTCACTTGAACAAAGAGTTCTGACCTGAAAAAGAAAATCATTATACCATTGCTAGGAAATGGGTAAAATTGTTGATGAACATAGTGTGAATAAAGTCATTATCAGAAGGAAACATATCTCTTCTTCTTCTATTTGTGAACTCCTAGATTTTATGTTGATTAATAAATTTTTGTACATTTGTGTTTGTGTATACAGGTATGAAATGGTGTGTGAGATATGCAAGTACATTTAAACTATCTCAGTGATCAAAGAGGCATGACAGGGACAGGGAGATGAAAGACAAGTGAGAGAATGTATTATGGCTAATTCTGGTTGCCAACTATGCACAATTTAAAATTATCTGGAAGAAGAGTCTTTATAAGAAACTTTCTACATATATTTGGACCATGGATGCTTCTATGCATTATTGTCTTGATTACATCGGTTGAGGTGGGAAAAATTCTGTATTGTGGATGGTACCAGTTCTTAGGCAAGGGATGAATCATGAAATATATAACATTTGCAATATCCTGAGTCCTACAATGGATACTTTGCAATGAGTTTTGTCATTGTGTGTAGGGGTAATGTGACTAGCTACTTCAAGTTTCTGATGCCCTGACTTCCCTAGGTTATAGACTATAAGGCAGAACTAACTCCTATTAAAAAAATGTTCTCGTCAGGAGTGGCTGCATTGTCTTCCTGTCTTCCTAGGATCAGAGGGAAGGGGAGGAGGACCTCCCCTATCAGTGGACTGGGGAAGGGGCACATGTGGGGAAGAGGGGTGGAGGGTGGGATTGGGAGGCAAAGAGGGAGGGAGCTACAGGGGGGATACAAAGTGAATAAACTGTAATTAATGAAAATAAAAATAAATTTAAAAAGTGTTCTCACTTATGTTACTTTTTCAGGGTATTTTTTGTTATAGCTGCAGTAAAGGCCTCTAGAATATAAATTCTTACGGAGTGTGTTCTTGCTGTGATAAATATGCTCTTGGCATGTTAAATATAACATGTATACATTTATAATATTTTTCGGGCTAAATGTGATACAGTGCGGAACCATGTGAATGGATAAAATCAATTGATGGCTTATGATATGAAGACAGTAAAAAAATGTAGGTAAAATTAGAGAGAGAGAATACAAGGGGGTAATGAGAGATGTGGTGAGGGAGGTTAAATATAATGGAGACTGAATGGAAAATCCATACACATACATACCTTGTAATCCAGTTGAAATATTTATTTTTTTCATAGTTTATTTTTTAATTACTTTACAGCCTGATCAAAGCCCCCTCTGTCCTCTCTTCCCAGTCCCATTCTCACATTCCTTCTGCGAATTTCCTCCTCCTCAGAGAAGGAGCAGTCATGCATGTGGACCAACCCAACCTGACACATCAAGTTGCAGCAGGACTAAGTGCTTCCTCTGCCAATGAGGGGAGACAAGGCAGCCCAGCTAGAAGAAGGGGATCTAAAGGCAGGCAACAGAGTCAGAGAAAGACCTTGCTCCAATTGTTAGGGGACCCACATGAAGAACAAGCAGCACATTCACTACATATGTGTACAGAGCCCAGGTCCAGCCCATGCATGATCTTTGGTTGGTTCTTCAATCTCTTGAGCCTTCTTGAGCCTTGGGTTAGCTGACTCTGTAGGGCTTCTTGTGGTGCACTTGACCCATCCATCTCCCTCAATCCTTCTCCCAACTCTTCCACAAGACCCCCACACCTCGAACTCCACCAATATTTGGCTGAAGGCTTCTGCATCTGTTTCCATCAGCTGTTGGATGAAGGCTCTCAGAAGATGGTTATGCTAGGCTCCTATATGCAGGCAAAGCAGAGTATTATTAATAGTGTCGGGGGTTGGCTCTTTCCCATGGGATAGTTCTCAAGATGCAACAATTATTGGTTGGACTTTTCCTCAATCTCTGTTTCATCTTTATTCCTACAGCTCTTGTGGGCAGGACAAATTTTTGGTCAAGGGTTTATGACTGGAATTGTGTCCCCCTTCCACCACTGGAAGTCCAACCTGGGTACAGCTGTAGTGGCTTCAGGCTTCATATTCCCTGCTGCTAGGAATCTTTGCTAGGGTCAATCCTATAAATTCCCAGAATCTGGCCCCATCCCAGAGTTACCCTCCACTGATTTCTGTTCTCTCTCCCAGTTCATTCCCCTTCCCCACACCTGGTTCTCATTCCATTTCCCCTCCCCACCCCCTCTCCCACCCATGTCCCTCCTTCCATTGACTTCAATTGTTCATATTAGTTCCCTTCTGAGTGAGTCAAGCATCCTCCCTTGGGCCTTTCTTGTTATGTAAAGTCTGTGTGTGTGGATTGTAGGACTGTTGTCCTATACTTCATGGCAAATAAACACTTATAAATTAGTACATATTATTCATGTCTTTCAGGTTCTGAGTTAGTCCACTCAGGATTATATCCATGTTCCTGCAAATTACAGAATGTCTTTGTTTTTTAATAGTTGAGTAGTATTCCGTTGTGTAAATGTATCACATATTCTTTATCTATTGTTCAGTTGAGGAATGTCTAGGTTCTGTACAGTTTCAGGCTATTATGAATAAATCTTCTTTGACCATAGTTGAACAACCATCCTTGTGGTATAGTGGAACATCTTTGGGTTATATGCCAAAGAGTGCTATAGCTGGGTATTGGGGTAGAACTAGTCTCAATTTTCAAAGAAACTGCCAGATTGATTTCCAAAGTGGTTCAACAAGTTTCCATTCCCACCAGCAATTGAAGAATGGTCCCCTTGCTCCATAGTCTCACCACTTTATCCTACTGCTTGAGTTTTTTATCTTACTCATATTGATGGGTGTAAGACAGAATCTCTGAGTCATTGTGATTTGCATTTCCCTGATGACTATGGACATTGATCATTTCTTCTTTTTCTTTTCTTTTTTAATTATCATTTATAACATTATTCAATTTGTATCCCGGCTGTGCCCCCCTCCCTCATCTCCTCCCAATCCCATCCTCCCTCTGCTCTCCCTATGTCCCTCCCCTAGTCCACTGATAGGGGAGGTCCTCTTTCCCTTTATTTGACTCTAGCCTGTCAGATCTCATCAAGACTGGCAAGGCTGCGCCCTCCGGGGGGAGGTGATCAGAAAGCCTGTCACTGAGTTCATGTCAGAGAAAGCCCCTGTTCTCCTTACTAGGAACCCCATTTGGATATTGAGTCTATGGGCTACATCTGAGCAGGGGTTTTAGGTCCTCTCCATGCATTGACATTGATCATTTCTTTAAGTTCTCTCAGTTATTTGAGATTCCTCTGTTGAGAATTCTGTTTAGCTCTGTACCCCATTTTAATTGGGTTATTTGGTTTTTTGAGGTTTAATTTCATGAGTTTTTATATGTTTCACATATTAGCCCTCTGTTGAACATAGAGTTGGTGAAGATCTTTTCCAATTCTGTAGGCTGTTGTTTTGTTCAATTAATGCTGTCCTTTGCATTGCAGAAGCTTTCCAGTTTCATAAGGTCTCATTTATTCTTGATCTTAGTGCCTCAGCTGTTGGTGTTATGTTCAGGTAGTTGTCTCCTTGTGAATTCAATGCTATTCCTCTTTCTCTTCTAACAGACTTAATGTTTCTGATTTTGTTGCTGTCTTTGATCCACTTGAACATGAGTTTTGTGCAGCCTGATAAATATGGATCTATTTGCATGCTTCTACCTGTAGACATACAGTTCAACCAGCACCATTTGTTAAGGATGCTTTCTCTTTTTCTTCGTATGTTTTTTTCCGTGTCAAAGGTCAAGTGTCCATTGCTTTGTGAGTTTACTTCTGCATCTTTGATTCAATTCCGTTGCCTGCATGTCTGTCTTTACAGCAAACCATGAGGATTATATAGCTCTTGCTCTCTAACATAGTTTGAAATCACGGATGGTGATATCTCCAGAACTGCTTTTATTGTACAGAATTTTTTCAGCTTTCCTTGTTGTTTTTTGAAGTTGAGAATTGTTCTTTCCAGGTCTGTAAAGAATTGTGTTGGAATTTTGATGAGAATTTCATTGAATCTGTGCTTTCAGTAAGTGGGTCATTTTTTCTTATCCTCCTGATCCATAAGCATGGAAGATCTTTCCATCTTCTGATATCTTCTTAAATTTCTTTCTTCAGAGACATTAAGTTGTCATACAGGTCTTTTACTTGCATGATTAGAATTATACCAAGATACAAATACTACTATGTTATAGTATTTGTAGCTATTAGGGAAGAAGGACATCAACCGCTTTACCCAGATGTGAGACATAGAACATCCATGACAAAAATCTTGGCAATATGTGCCAACTTGTACAGTAGCTCCATGGTTGCTGTCTAGGTTAAAAATTTGCCCTCTGATTGAATATGAGAGCAATTTCATGGGAGGGAATACATGTATTGTACTATAAACTCATTCAAAACATATGGCTGTAGAGTTCATTGGCCTTTTCATGAAACTTAGTACTTTTGTTTAGATAAGCTAAAATATCACCAAGTTACCCTCTAAATATCTATGCAAGTATAAATGCCACTCTCAGGCTTATTTATTGAAGCTTTTTTTTTTTTTGCAATAAACAGCAC